CCCCCGCCACTGCACGGGAATGAAATCTAAGCTTCTTAGTGGAGCATTCAAGCCTCTACATGTTCAGGCTGGCCACAAGCTACCTCTTGGATGTATCCATCTCTTGTTAACTACCATTTCTTTTCTCACCCTATATATCTTCAGCCTTAAACATTAATCATTGTTTCTCTAACACATCCTGTCATTTTACACTTCTAAGCCTTAGCTCAGGCTATTTTCTCTATTTGAATGCAGCGTTTATGTCAGTCTCTCCATAACACTTTACCCATCCCCTTAGCCAAAGGTATTCTTCCTCTTCTGTGGTGCATAGACTTTTGTGTCTCAATCCTAACACTTTTCGCGTTCTGCCTGTTTTTATAGATAGTTGTAACTTAGTCCCTTCTACTTCCTTGCCCCAGTGACTTAATCACACACAGTATAGGCTCAAAGCCTTGTGACGAATTGAACTGGAGCAGGGATCTGATCCCTGTATCAAAGGTTAACAGTCTGGAAAAATCAGGCGATTCTGCAAGAATCCATGACATCGCGCATGAAAAAAGAGCCTAGAGGAGTCACTCATTCCAGGGGGGCCCTTTCGCTGCCTAGAACAACCGTTTCAAAAGGTGGGAACAAAATAATTCGCTGTTAGTGGAGTACGGCTTCTCTACACAGTTGCAAGATGTTTTTATTGTTTACATAAAGTAAAATATCTTATGCACTGTACTTGAAAAAAGCCCTAAGGGATCTAAGATTTCCCGAGGTGAATTTTCCGCTGACGGGTGTCCTCCTGAAGTCAACTGCACTGACCATCATACAGTGTACTTGGTAATGGATTAAAGACTCATCGAAGCATACTCGCGGTGCTTCTCCGGAGTGGGACTGCGGCTCGGCCCGGAGCGACCTCCGCTCCGCCCTGCGGCTACCCCCGCGACCGCCCCCAGCGGCCGCAGCCTGGAGCTCCAAGGGAATTCCCGCACCTCTGCGCGCGCAATCCCAGGACAAGGATCCGCGCGGTGCGCGCAATTGCGCTGGAAAGCTCTGCGCGCGCACGCGCAAACGCGGGGCGGGGGAGGACTGAGCTAAGGGTTTAGCAGCGGAAGAGGGGTTTACCCTTCCAGTCGACTGGCGCTGCCCCCAAGGTGGCCGCGCGCGCCGCCCATCTCCCTCAGGTGGAGCGTCCCTTCCAGCACGCGCCCGGCCGCGCGCTCCCCAGCCCTTCCCCCTCCGCCCCCCCCCCCCCCCCCCCAGGAGAACGCACAGCGCGCCTCAGGCTGGTGCATCGTCACCCCGGCTTTTGCCGCCGCCACAGGCTGGCCCCGCCCCCCCCACCCCTCCCCCCCCCCCCCCCCCCCCCGCCCACTTCACAAGCACCCTTGCCCTCCTCCCGTATTTGTGCGCCGGTGCAGCAGGCAGTGGGAGCATCCGGGCACTTCCGCAGCCGAGCGGCGATCCGGGCGGCGGCGGCGGCGGCGGCGGCGGCGGCGGCGGCGGCGGCGGCGGCGGCGGCGGCGGCGGCGGCGGCGGCGGCGGCGGCGGCGGCGGCGGCGGCGGCGGCGGCGGCGGCGGCGGCGGCGGCGGCGGCGGCGGTCGAGGAGCTCCCATGGCTGGGACCAGGCTGGGGGAAGGCAAAAGGGGGGCGAGGCCTTAAGCCCGAGCCGCGGCGGGGTGGGTCCCGAGGGAGGCGGAGCGGGGAGCGCTCTCGAGGGCGGAGGAGGGCCGGGAGCGGGGCTCGTTGAGTCTCTAGTGCGTTCGCCTGGCCAGCCGGGGCTCTGGAAATGCATCTACATCAGGTCCTCACCGGAGCTGTCAACCCTGGAGACAACTGCTATTCCGTGGGCAGCGTCGAAGATGTCCCCTTCACGGTGAGCGGTGTCCGGGAGCCCGAGGGGGAGAGACCGCAGTCTCTACGCGGGGGCCAAGAACCCCTGTCCCCGGCCCACGCCTCCCCGGGAGGCTGCGAGGTGTTGGTAGGCCCCACCCGAGCCCCCTTTGCACCCCAGTTTAGCGGGGCGGGCCGTGGGAACTGTGATTCCTGCGGCTGCTGTAGGAAACTGCCAGTCAGGGGAAAGGTTGAGGAATCCACCGCCCTGTCCGCCCTCAGCAAACGGGCCCCGGGGGTGACTGCACCAGACGGTTCGTCTCCTAGGATGGCCCCGGGTCTATGGTGGAGGAAGGTGAAACCGCTGAAAGCCCAGAGCGTCCGTTTCGCACCTGCTCTCGGCTTGGAGGCGCAGAGACTCGGTCTTGTCTCGTCGCGGAGCGTGGAGGCGATGCTGCGTCTGGCTCCCCCTGCCCGTTGTGTTAGGACATTGAGGAGCCGCTGGAGCCGGTGGCTTTAAGCCCAACCCTCCGTACCTCCTGATATGCAGAATCTTAATTCCAACAAGGAAATGGAAAAATTCATTCTCTGCCTCCGAGAAATTTAGAATAGAATAATTAGAGTGACAGCGGCCTGGAGAGCTCTTATTTATCACGAGATCACGGTTTGGTAACCTCCCTAGATAATATTTTAATCCGTTTGCAAGGTAGGCTGGTTGGTTTGTTTTAAAGATAGGGCAATGTGAAAATTTTATGACAGTGTTTTTCCTGTTTGTGAGATTAAAGTGTATATAAACGATAATGTGTTAGAACCTCTTAAAAATCTGGATGAAATAGACATGTTTCTCAAGGAGCTTGGATGGATTAATCCTTTTGAGAATGGAATGTTGTTAGTATAGCCAATTCAAACCAAGCTCTAGAGATTCATTTACCCACAGAGAGACTCCCATGGATTAACATGAGTTTCTTTTTTGTGTTAAATTTAGACATGGTCCTCCTCGGAAGGAACTGTAGACAGTTAGACCTCGATTAAATACACATTGTTGTTAATAATCATTCTCTTTGATGAAATTGGAAATAGCATAATGGTATGCTTTTTAGACAAGGGAAACACTCTGATCTGATGTCTGCTTTCCAGTAGCATGTTTTTAAAGCTGCAGAAATAAGAAAAGCTTCTGCAAAACTGCAGAATCATTATGTAGCGCAGTGCACTCAGGAGCAGAATTTACCTATCATTGTGATACATTAGAAATAACCCCATAAGATCGTTTTTTGACCATTTTAATTTTAAATGTAATCAACTTGGCTTTGTACCAGTTTAGAATGAACCCTTAAAAAATATAATTTGCCTGACTTATATTGTTACACCTATCCCTATCAATGGTATCATCTGTGTTTTGTGTGCTTGTGACCTAAAAGATCCATATAGTGTTGAGCTTGGGATTCAAGTGTGTAGACAATTTGGGAGGCATAGAGAGAAGAAATTTCCCTCTCCCCTAGTTGTGTATGTGGGGAGGAAGTTCCCCAGGGTTAGAAGAACAGGCTTTCTCCATCAAGAAATGAATCTGGACTCTTGGCTTATGGGGTATCTCCACACTATTATGGTCGTGGTAGTTTTCTGTTTCCATCTAAGGTAGAGTGGTGTCTCATTGTGAGGCTGGTATATAGGGCTAAACAGGTTCAGGTGCAGTCTGGAAAAGCCAGTGCCAGAAGCATTAGTGCTGCACAGGTGTGGTTATGCTGTAGGCTGCCCATGACCAGGTCCTTGGAATCATTTCCAAATCTTTTTCCACCTCCCTCTTTCAACCTGTCACCAAATCTAGCTGACTCTGCAGTGACTACCAGATTTACCCCTTTTCATGTCCTTAGTTACCAGATTATTGTAGAACCTTATTTGTATTACTTAATATTAAAAACTTCCAAACTGGTTTCCTGACATCTCTGATCACTTCAATTCATCCTCCACACAGCTGCTGGTATAATAATCTTCAAATAGCATTTCACCATATCATTCTTGGCTCAAGAATATGTAGTTGTTTCTAAGAGCTGTGGTGTGAAATTTAAATTTGTCAGATATTCTTCTGCCATCTTTGACTTTACATTTGATTATATATACTCCTCATCTTGGCCCCTTTGCTGTAGACATACCAGTCTTCTCACTAAGCCTACATTTTTATGTTGCAACAAGAGAACCCTTGCGTTTTGTTTTCCCAAATAATGACTCAGAATTTACCTGGTTTAGGATGCCTGCCTGTGACACTGATTATTTTGGCCCTTTGGCATTTACACACCCATGTTGCACACCATCTCATTTTAATATCTTAGTTTTTAAAAATATATTTATTTATTTATTTTGGTTGTGCCTGGTCTTAGTTGCGGCATGTGGGATCTTTAGTTGCGGCATGTAGGCTTCTTAGTTGCGGCATGCATGTGGGATCTAGTTCCCCGACTGGGGATCAAACCCTGGCCCCCTGCATTGGTAGCATGGAGCGTTACCCACTGGACCACCAGGGAAGTCCCAATATCTTAGTTTTGAATACACTGATCCAGTTATAATTTTGCTTTGAACTAGAAATGACCTTTTGGACTCTGTGAAAAACAGAGTTGCTTGAAAAAAATGAGAACAAGCTGTTTTCAAGTACTCAGGAATCAGCTAACAATTATTTCAATGCCTGTGTTAGTATAGTAAAAATGAAATTAAAAGAAAAGGTAAAACTCCTTTATGTAGAGCATGCCATTTGATTTGTATAGCAATCAGATGAAAAAACTTTAGTTCTGGGTCAGATGACTAACAAGGGGGCCAGCCGGGACTGGAATGGAGGTCTTGTGACTTCTCATCTGGTGGGCTTTTCTCTGTAGCATGTTTCTTTCCTGTCAGAGTTCTTGCTCTGAAGGGTGTGTATATGTGGGGAGGGTCTAGACATGGCCAGTGTAGAAGGTAAGACTGTCTTGGAGCTAGCCAGTGGTAACCTGAGGACCTTTTCAAAATAGGGCAGATCATTTATTTCAGAGTCTATAAGCAAAGTTTTTCAAAAGGAATTGTTCTAAAAGAATTTTGAAATGTTCATGACATTGTAATTGAAAAACAATCTGTTATATATATATTGCACTGTGCATGGGAGGTGGTGGGTGGTGGTGGTGTGATCGGCTGGGCAGTGAATGTCTGCTTGGTTATGTTGTCAGGGCACAATCTCTACTGTGTTGACATGGTGATGCAGTTGGTAGTGGACAAACCCAGTGATGAGTACTTTTAGTGCTAGCATGTGGGCTGTGATGGTTTTTACTTGTGTTTTGGCAGTTAGGAGTTTTTTAAAACACTCAACTGTAATTTTATAAATACACTTGTATAAATATCACCTTTTGATCATTCTGTTCTTTTCAATATAAGATCTAAGTCCTGGGAAATATTGTTATCCTGTAATAAGTCAGGTCTCAGGTAGTCCAAAGGTTGATGTATGAGCTTTGTTGTAGTTTATTTTGCCATCGATACATTTCCAACTACCTTCTTACAGGTAAGTGGATGTTTCAAGGCTTAATGCAACAGATAGTTTAAATTTCTCCTTATTTATGTTGTTTATTACTTTCTGAAAATAGTCCTTCATTTTTTTTATTTTACTTTTCTGTAAGCATTAGAATATTAATTAAAATAGTGATGGTACATGATGATTATTAATATAATTAAAATATTTTTTTCACCTAAGGGGTACATACTATATTTTCAGACATATAGGGGCAGTTGATGTTACTCCATTCTGATATGAATTCAACACATTGATGAAAAAAGTTTACAAAAATTAGTAAGTCATTTCCACTTTCAGGGGACTTATAATATACTGACAGATAAAAAATGATGTACATAATTACAGTGTAAGTCAGATGAAAGAGATCACATGTAGTTGGGAAGATAAAAGATTTCATGAAAGATTGATACTTGGAAAGACAGAGTAGTATTAGGCATTTCTAGATGGTAAGAACAACAAAAGCCAAGGAGTGGTGTGATATAAAGGATACATTATTGGGTGACTATTCCTTCACAAAAGTGATGAACAAAACAAAACAAAACACAGGACTTTAAAAAAACCCCACAGGGCTTCTTTATTAAGTAGCGAATACTGTTAGAATTTTGAAAAATAATGATTTGCAAACATTACCCTTAGCTTTTTAGGAAAATATATTTGTATTCTGACATTCTTGACTTGTGTTGTTTTTGTTTTTTCTAGTAGTGAATGAAATGAATGAAAAAACATTTATTTAAAAGTTAGAAGATAATGTTGTGTTACATGTTATATATGTCATATATGACCTTTTTTGGCATTTAGATATATTTTTATTCTACTGTAGCATAATAACAGTCTAGTCCTAGAATATGGCAACACTGAAATTTTAAAATAATCAGCTTGTTTATACATTTACAAATGTTTGTTGAACACATGGATGTGTGTGGCTCTGTGGAGATTAAAAAAAATAATAAAAAAGAACAAAAAAAATAGTCCAGATTTCAGGGAGTTTATTAAAAAAGTTTAGGAAGCTGGTAATCTGTCTACTAGGGGAGTTAAGATGTATACTTAACCACAGCAGGTCAGCTGTGTGGTATTGTGAGGCACTTAAATTCTTGTGGGAATTCAGAAGGAATAAGAGATCACTTTTGGCCAGGGGAATTGGAGAGTTGGACAGAAAAATGCTTTTGTACTGTCTGGTTATCAATAGGTATAATGACTTTACCTATTGACAGCCTATGCTGAGAAAAAAGGGAAAGACAGAAGTCAAGAATTTAGAACGGGCTTGTTTCCCGAGAGAAACTGGCCCATTTATTCTTGGAGAGTAGCTTCTTGTTTATTTAAATTGATATCTTTTAGAGTTTGTGGCCTTGTGTTTGCTGTCAGCCTGTGGGTGAATATGCGGTTCTATAAGTTTTTACTTATGTCCCTAGGTATATTGTTAATTAGCCTGCCTTCTAGAGTGAGAAGACTCCTAGCAGCTACCCTGAAACTCTGGTATAACCCCAAATAATGCCTCCTCAGAAATGGGAAGTCAGAGACCAACT